CATGAAGGCCTGAGCCTGAAGACCCCGGACAAGCTGGATGAGAAAGACACAAAAGCCTTTAAACCTTAGAGGAAATGCCGAAGGTTTAGTAGGACAGGTCCTCCTGGCAGATGGTTATTCTTCCTCTTCATCAGATGACCTGCCTATTTCTGAGTTAATCATCTGCATTTTATTCATTTCAACATGAGAACTGCTGGCAAAAGAACAAGATAATCAAGGGAAGAACTCAAGGGTCCATCAGATCGATCGGAAGAGCTGGAAACTTTCTGTGCATCCTTGCTTTTTAATCTCATAAAACCTTAAACTACATCTCCCTTAAATTATATCCATATCTCATCTTTTATGGAACCTTTTGGGTGTCCACAAACAAGTAATTTATAATAAGATGTTTTTAGAACACTTTATCTCAGGTGGGAAAACCGAAGTCTTCTTTCTCATTGATTTTTAAAGCTGAAGGTATGAACATATCAGCACCTGGTATGGATGAATTCACCTTCCACTTTTTACAAAGTAGACACTAAAGAGAAATCTCTGGATGATTGGTAGCAGTTTTGTCATCTGGATATGCAGTCAAGTTCCCTTAATTGGCACTTTTGGGTGATCTGGATTCTTAGCTGTCTTTGCTTAGAACCTCTGAAGGGGAACGTTAAGAAAAATCGAGCTTATTGCTATTAATTGCTTCTTCTGGTTCCTGTAGTCCCAGACTCTAATGAGGTGACACTAACAGGACAAGTAGCTTGCTATGGTTCCACACATTTTGAGAGGTGTGAAGATTGTCAACAAAATTTTTCCATTCTTTTACTCACAAATGTGAGACTGTTCAGGGTTAGAGTGGAAAGAACAGTTAAATATGAGGTCAGAATTTGGTATTCTAATTTCAATTATCTTACTAACTAGCTATATGTGCTCAGGTAGAATTCACCTAATTCTTCTGCATCTGTTTCCTATAGCTTCCCAACAGAATGATTATACTTGACAAGACTAATCCACCTGACAGTGGGCATAAGGTCATTCAACCAAAACAGCCCCAGGGCAGCTCCAGTCCAGGGCAGATTTAATGGTATGAACAAGAATTCTCACAAAATGCAGGTAAAGAACAACCTTGGACAGCACAGCCGTGAACAGAAAAGGATAGAATAGAGCACAGAAGGGTCAACACGGAACAACTTCACAGGCAGATTCCCCACCCCAACACAGAGCCAGAAGCCGTCCCCACGCCAGCAAATTAGCAGCACGCACCTTGGAGAACACCTTAGAGTCTCCTCAGGAACAAAACTGGCAAGGCAAACTTTGAGAAAATGCTTTAACAAAGGCCCTATATTCGTCTGCTAAGGCTCCCATAACAAAATCTCACTGACTGGGTGCTTAAACAACAGACATTTATTTCTCACAGTTCTAGAGGCTGGAAGTCCAAGACGAGGGTATCAGCAGGTCTGGTTTCTCCTGACACCTCGCTCCTTGGCTTGCAGACAGCCATCTTCTTGCTGTGTCCTCATATGGACTTTTCTCTGTGCGCTGGCTCCAGTGTGGAAAACATGTCAGAACCCTCTCTATATCATTTAAAGTTCATTATATAGAAACATGCCCACGTGACCTGTATTCTCATGCTATAACAGAGTTTGTCTGGTCTTTGTCCCAGGTTCCTGACACAGAGCTTCTAAAATCCTGGGAATTTCCCAAGTGATAGAAGCGTACTTGCTATTCATGAGCCTCTGGATCACACCTGAGTTTATGCTAATAAGATGATGGGCTGGGGGTGGGGGTTCCTGGATGGCTTCAGGATGGGGGCTGGTCACTACAAAGACTAACAACCTCCTTAGAAGGTTGGGACTGAGCAACAGCCCCACCTCCAGGGTGAGGAGGAGAGTTGGAGAGCACATTCAATCACTTGGTCAATGATTTAATCAATCGCACCTACATAATAAAACCCCAGTAAAAACTGGACACAGAAGCTCAGAAGGGTTTCTTGGTTGGTGAGCACATTGATGGGCCAGGAGGGTGACAGCTCCTGATTCTCCCAGAGAGTGCATTCAGGACCCTTCTAGACCTTGCACCATGTATCTCTTCATCTAGTTGGTCCTGTTTTGTATCCTTTATAATAAATGTATAGTCCTTAACTATAATGCTTTTAGCAAATTATCAAACCTGAGAGGGCTGTAGGAACCTCCCAAATTTGTAACCCATTGGTCAATAGGGCAGGTGACCTGGGAACCCCCAAACTGTGCCTGACATCTGAAGTAGGAGCAGTGTTGTGAAGGACTGAGCCCTCCACTCGTGGAGTCAGCGCTAATTCTGGGTGGTTATTGCCAGAAGTGGATTACAATACACAGGTGGTGTCAGACCAGTGGGGGGATGAAACAGAATCCAGGCCATATTTTGTGTTCGCCACTCTTAATTTCAAATCCAAGAATGTCTCGTCAACGGGAGTAAAAAATCTTGTCTCAAAACTAAGATGTGGGCAAACACCACTGGCTTTGGGCAGCTCAAAATTCAGATCTTGTTACCTGATGGCCGGGTAGGCTCCAGGTAGCCCCCAGAGACTTAGTGTCAAGCATGCTCTCTCTACTGGCCTTCACACCACTTGGGGTGAAGTCTTGGTATTCCCCTTCCTGGCCACACTGCCACCACTAGTCATCTGCGTCTGGGAAGTGTTGCACACGCAGCCCCCACCCCGGGCCTCAAGCCCTGCACATCTGCACATCTAACAAAGTCCTGCCATGAACTTCCTGCTCAAGAACCAGTGTGCGCTTGATGTTTTGGTGACCTCTGCCTTTCTTTCTTTTTTTTTTTTTTTAAGATTTTATTTATTTATTTGAGACAGAGAGAATGAGAGACAGAGAGCATGAGAGGGAGGAGGGTCAGAGGGAGAAGCAGACTCCCCGCCGAGCAGGGAGCCCGATGCGGGACTCGATCCAGGGACTCCAGGATCATGACCTGAGCCGAAGGCAGTTGCTTAACCAACTGAGCTACCCAGGTGCCCCGACCTCTGCCTTTCATACTTCTTAAAAACTAGCCGCTGACATAAGCAGCATTCCCCAAAGCCAAAACCCCCTCCTTTCACATCTTTTGTGGATGAGGACACTCCTTAGCTTCCCTACAGCTTCCCACTAATTCCCCACAAATTAGTAAATCCTGAGCTGTGCTTGAGATCAATTCATCTAAGAAATTTTGTTGAACGTCTTTTAGGAGTGACTACAGTCAAACTTCAAGTCAGTAGTGGGCAGAGGGGTGGAAAACTCCTCTTCCAGAATGCTGTCTTAATCAGGCCCATTTCAGTCCAGATAGATCACAGTTGATATATTCAATATGCCCAAGCAAGGCACGTGAATTAGAAAGATGGGGTATTCATGGTGAATATATCATTTAACAAATTCTGCCATTAACGGTCTTCAGGCCTTTCTAATCATTTGTATTACAAATTTGGTTATCAAATTTTTTTAGGACCAGAAGTAAAATCCCATTACAAATGACTCTTCATAATGGTTCTCTTCCAAGCCGTCCACGGTGGCAATGCTTCGGATCCCACTGGTAGTCTATGTAATAGTAATTGTCCAGGAGGAAAATCCCTGATTGTTTATTCTCTTTATCATGGATACAGCTGGAAGAACTCAACCAGCTATGCACAGAGCAATTCCATTTTTTCCCCGTCGCTTTGCAGCAAATGCCTTTTAACCACTTTCCTCTCTCCCTGACCACCCTAGGCATTCTAACCATTCCTTCCAGAAAAATACATAAAAAAACAGGGGTATTATAATGTTTGGAAGTTGGAGAAAGAAAAGGAATGGGTTGGCTAGCATTTTTCTCCTTGTTCTCCTGGGTGCAGAGCTCCTGATCGTGCACTTACTTGAGAGTTGGAGGCTTTGTTCTGAGTCATCCCCAGGTCTATACCCCCGGCACGCTGTCTTCTGCCTGAGCCAGTTTGGCAAGAACCACATAAAACCACAGACCCTGCCCCTCGATTCCTGAGCTCCCTCCTTTATCTTGTGCCACCAAGACGAAGCTTAACTATAGGTTCCCATTTTGGGTTGACCTTATCAAGATTTCTAGAGGTCACTAGAAATCCGTCATTGCCAATTGTGTTCCTGAATCTACAAGAAAAGAATAATATTCTCTAGGGGCGCCTGGGTGGCTCAGTTGGTTAAGCGACTGCCTTTGGCTCAGGTCATGATCCTGGAGTCCCAGGATCGAGTCCTGCATCGGGCTCCCTGCTCAGCGGGGAGTCTGCTTCTCCCTCTGACCCTCCCCCCTCTCATGTGCTCTCTCTCTCTCTCAAATAAATAAAATCTTAAAAAAAAAAAGAAGAATATTCTCTATTGCAGAGTGGACGGTAGGAAATATGTGGCATACATAATTTACACACACATGCACGCACACATTGTTTACATATATTGCCTCTGTTTTGTTTCTGTGATTTGGGATTATGCATCTTCTCACATAACTTTCCATTTTTTTCAAAATATTTTCCCTTAACATAATATTCGGAGATATTTTCAGGTAGCAGTGACTGGAAAAGAAAGAAGTCAAAGTGCTTTAATAAGCACTTATAGTTTTCATCAAAAATGAATGTTTTTATATACACCTGGTCCTTCTAAGTATATAAATATAGTCATATTAAACCTGAAAATGTCACTGATGAGATTTTGTTATCCCCCAGTTGGACCAACTCTAAAGCCAACTAAGATTGTTAAGTGTTATTTTTCATTCTCAAAGAAAAGAGAATTTTTTTTTAAAGATAAAAACTTCCTGGTCACAGCGAGAACCCCAAGGACTATTCTATCTGTCTCTTTGCGTGTATTTTACCTCAAACACACACATACAAAAATCTATACTTCAAACAAACCACTACCATTAACTCAAACATGATCAATAAAGTCAGCAGAAGAGGGCCTCTGTCCATGCCATTAGACAGAAAATACACCACCATTATTTGGGAGGCCTGGGGAGAAGCAGATCTAAACCTTTTTTCCCCTTGGAAATAGTAAGAAAAGTAAATACCAGTCTTTCAGATTCTGCGAATGAGGCCATATGGGCTGGAATTTATTATGCAAGGTCTTTATAAAACCCTCATGCTACTTTAAATTTAACATTAGAGTTTTGTTAAATCCGGCGGTAGAAATAACCAAGACTCAGATGAAACAGTAAATTTTGCTCTGCAAACTACAGTGGACTTCAGTGCTGCCGGCCCCCCCGACAGATTGTCTTCTCATCTACAGAAAGCAGGATCAGGAATAAGACAGCACAGCAGTTCCGTAAAGGGCTCAGGACGGATACCAACCAGCATCACCTGGTGCAGGTGGAATGGGGAGCCAGCTGCCTGCCCTCCCAGCCTCCCAAGGAGAAGTGTGCTGGGGCCAAATCAATGGCGTGTGCTATGGAGATGTCCAGCACCGTGCTCCCCACTCCCCGCCCCGGCGCCTGGTACTCTGCTGTTTTATGGGATGTGTATAAAAGTGGCCCCATGGGGGGAAATAAATATTTTAGATATGCACACCACGCAGTTCTAATCTTAGGTGCCTACGGTTTCGGGGGATTCTCCAACATGCCTCAGCTTCCTCAGAGAACTTGATAGCCCTCCATCCCGTGGGACGTTGGATCTGAGAGCTGGCTCATTGCCACACGACTTAGAGAGAGGCCCAGGGTCAGAGTCCCACACCAGATAGTCCCACTGGTCTCCACCACAGGTGGCGGTGTATAGTTGTACATGCATACATGCGCAACGTATGCAAGTATACAGTTGTCTGGGGTTCTTGTAACTGATAGATTTTATATTTTAGAGTAGTTTTAGGTTCCAGGTGATAAAGACGTGTCAATGTAGATTCATGAGTTGTAACAAATGTGCTACTCTGGTGGCAGATGTTGACGATGAGGGAGGTTGGGGAGTGGGGGTGGGGGGTCTAAGGGAAATCTCTGTACCTTTCATTCAGTTGTGTATTTGTAATGTTCCAGCTGAAACACAGTTGCTTAGAGTTGGCCCTTTCCAGAGATGTCCCATCATCCATACGACCTAAAATAATATGGGTGATAATTGTAACTTTTTTTTAAGATTTTATTTATTTATTTGAGAGAGAGCGAGAGAGCACAAGCAGGGGGCGCGGCAGAGGGAGAGGGGGAAGCAGGCTCCCCACTGAGCAGGGAGCCCAACTCGGGACTTGATCCCAGGACTCCGAGATCATGACCTGAACCGAAGGCAGACCGTCAACCAACTGAGCCACCCAGGCGCCCCTGTAACGTGGTTTTTTTTTTTAATGGTACCTTGAAACTGCAACTCTTGGTTCCCTCAAAGCCTCGGAAGAGTTGATCAGCAGTGTTAACAATGACAGCCTTGCTTTCAGGCAACATTACTGAGAGAAGAAAAAATCATTATGTCCACTGAGCACTTCATACTGTGTTGTCCTAGACATTAGCACGTCGGTTCTTCCTCCCCTTTTCTTTCTAGTTTTTAGTAGCTTTGCCATCACACTAGCCAGAAATCATAGTCATCTTTGCTTTATCTTCATCCATCCGGGCTCCCACCACAGCCAGTCACCAAACGGTCTGATTCTACAGGTCTCAAATGTCATCACCTACTCCCGAGCCCTACTGCTCCCTTTGCTCACACCCTCAGCGCTCCCCGTCTGGCCTCCTTTGTGGTCTCCCTCATGCACACCTCTTCTCCAAAACCACCAGCGCTGTCTTTCATGCATGTACCAAATGTTGAAGTCTTACCAGGAATGAAATTGTATGTCTCTTACTAAAGACACAGGGGTGGATAAGGCATCTCCCCAGCTCTCAAGGACCTCACATCTAAAATGCAAATTCCCGGGGTGCCTGGGTGGCTCAGTCGGTTGGGCGTCTGCCTTCAGCTCAGGTCATGATCCCAGGGTCCTGGGATCGAGCCCCACATCGAGCTCCCTGCTCAGCAGAGTCTGCTTCTCCCCCTCCTACTCCTCCTGCTTGTGTTCCCTCTCTCGCTGTGTCTCTCTCTGTCAAATAAGTAAATAAAATCTTTAAAAAATAACAAGAAAATGCAAATTTCCTTTTGTCACTCACTTGCTTGAAATTCCCATTGTCTGTAGGATGAAACCAAAACCTATCAACACAGCACACTTTGTCACCGTTCATACTCATGGGATCTGGTCCCCATCAGACTGCTGGGCCTTGTCTCCCACCCTTCTGCCACCCGCGCCCAGGCTGCAGCCCCCTCAGCTCCCTGCAGCCCGTTCCCCGCTCCAAGATTCATGCAAACCACATTCTCTTTCTGGAAGCTCTAGGAAACTCCTGGACTTTTCTTCAAAACAAATGAAATCTCCTCTGCTTCCCTCCCCTGACACAACAGATTGATTCCTCCTTCCTCTTCATATAGGCCTGTATAATTTCCACGCATATCTGTCTCCCAGGGGGCTGCCAACCCTGGAGAATGGGGTAAGTAAGCAGGCAATTTCATTCATTCATTTACCATTTGTCCATTATGCCTGCTCTCTGCTCTCCTCTTCTTTGCGTCCACTTTCTCCTCAGCGGGGACAGTGGTGCCGGGGGCAGGACCTCCCGCTGCGACGGTGCCATGGCTGTCACCTCGCTGCCATGCAGGATGACGGCCGAGGAGACGCCGCTGAGCTCCCAGAAGAAGGCCCAGGTGCCGCGTGCTGGGCAGCGCTGCCAGGCCCAGAGCTAGTCACGGGATGAAGCAGCGCCCTCACCCAACGGGGCCTTCGCTCCCTCAGGAGGACGGAGCTCCTTGGGGGCCGCTGAAGACAGGGGAGGCAGAGCTGGAATTTCAACCTGGTTCCGAAGTTGGTGTTTTTAACAATTTTGGCGAACAATGAGAAACAACTCCCAAGGGGACCGGTTACTCTCACCCTCCAATAGGAAGTTCTATCCTCCCTGTGGGGCAGGCTATGGGGAAAGGCAAGGGTTCCTTGGGGAGCATGTGACCATGACTCAAATGTTTGATGGGGTCAGAGTAGTCAGAGGCATCCCTTTCCACAAAAGCACCATATCTGTCCCTCACCTGAGCAGCGCCTAGCCAGCGTAGACACCTGCCACTCCTCAGGGCTCTGTGGTTCCTCAGCTCTTGTTCAAACAACTTAATATTTTTATTCAGGCTTCAGTCCTTCTCAAGTGGCCTGAGAGTCTTTCTGCCTCCAAGTCACCTGGCGCTTCTCTGCTTTGATCTGTTTTCTGCTGATTTTCTAGCTCAGATTTTCTGGATCAGAGAGCACTTAGCTCCCCGTTTCCAAATGCGTGCAGGTGGCCTCACTGTTGCCTCCCCATTCTGCCTCCAGCTAATATTAACCCATATTTGAAGATGACAAAACAGGGATTACAGTCACAGAGCTGGTCTCCAAGGCAGGACTTGAGCCCACATGGGGCTCTGTGCTCAGCGAGGAGTCTGCTGGAGATTCTCCCTTTCCCTCTTCCTCTGCCCCTCCCCCTGTTCACACGTACAATCTCTCTCTCTCTCTCCCCTCCCTTCTCAAAAATAAATAAATCTTTAAAAAAAAAAAAAAAAAAACAATCTGCTGCTACCCTAGTGCCCGTGGCCCTGGATCCTTGGGCCCAGCCTGGAGCGTCTGCGTCCTCCCGCTTCACCTTGGCCACAGCAACCCGCCCCGGGACCCTCCCCTTGTTCCAAGCCTCCGCGGTGTCCCCACTTCACATGCCAGAGGCTCTGGCCCCCTCCAAGCCCTACCCCGGTGGCTTCCATCGGCGCTAACCTCCCGTGCCACGCGGCCCACACCGCCCTCTGCTGGCCGACGGCGGCCCTTGCACTGGCCCTTCTGGGGCTTTATCACCATCTCTACTCACCTTCACCTTTCACACTGCAGCTCTCTGCTCCTTGGCCCTCAACTCCAAGATCTGACCGGATCTCCACCGTTTCAGCTGGACTCCCAGGAGGACCCACTCCCACCCGGTGCCCTCTGTAGCCTCAGCATGGCTTCCACTCCCCACCCTTCCAATGATTTGGCACACTGACGAAATGCTCTGGCTTTTCCAAGGCCACACTGATTTCAACTATTCTGTCCCATCATCAGACCATTTGGCCCAATTTTGGGATCAGAAATAGAGTCAATGGAGATTTATTGCACCTGGATGTCATTTTCGTAATTGGTGCCACTCACACAGGATACAAAATTCAAAAGGCATCAAAGAAGATAGAGTGCAAATGAAGTCTCTTCTCAGCCCTGGCCCCAGGCCCACAGGCCCCCAGCTCCCCGACTGAGACTCTGTGAATGTGAGCAATTTCTCAACCTTCCAAAGAGCCCACAGATCTCTGACCTGGATGGGACTGGCCATATTTCAGCAACAGCACTGGCAATTTCTTAATCATTTATAAATTAAAAATTATTTAAAGAAAGAAATTAGAAAGTTCAGCTTCAATCCCACGCCCTAAATAAATTCATGTCGTTTCTCTAAACTGCATTCTAATTTTTATCTATATGCACACGTTTTTCATTGTTTAATCATGGTAATGTGAAGAGTTTAGATCTACTCCCATTGCTAATTTCAAACACACATTTCGTTTTCATCATTTTTAATGGTTTATGTAATATTCATTTGGGCTAAAACCCAATTATTGGGTTTTTATTTCAAGTTTTAACAATTATAAATAATATCAGTATAACCACCTATAACTTTCTTCTTTGAATTATTGCTTTGGGATAAGTTCCCAGAGTGGTAGTATTGAGTGTAAGGGATAGTTCCTGTCACATTTAGCCAAATAGCTCTTAGAAAGGTGACAGAAGTTTGCAATGCCTCATATTGCATCTTACTTCCATTCCATAAAATATAATAATTATAATTATCAACAAAAAAATGCTTCCTCATACCGTTCTCACTTACATATTTTTGTAATAGATAACTCAGGTCAATGTCAATTTAGGTTTCTGTGTTTCATGTTGATTTCTGTTGGAAGCAGTCCTTAGAGCTAATTGGAAAAAGGTGACAGGTTGGCTTTCTAGGACCTTGGAGAGGTGTTTGTGGTGTCCCACATGGAGGGCAGTTTGGCAGGGTCATGAGTGAATGGGCACATTCTCATTCTCTCTCCCTCTCCCATCTCTCTCCCTCTCTCTCTCTCTCTCTACCCCCACCCATCCTTGGTGATATTGTTCCATATCCACCATGCTCTTTTTATGTTACTAGAAAGGGCAATAGTCTTCCCAATCTACATTCTTTTAAAAGTGATCTTCTCTTTTTGAGTGTCATTGCAGATGTATTTTTCCTTAGTGTGTAAAATGTGTATAAGACTCTCCCACCTTGGAGAGCGAGACTTGGACTTGAACTTGGACTCTGTACTAACTAGTTATATCTCTTGGACAAATCACTCAGCTTCTCAGAGGCTAATTTCTATCAGTAAAATGAGAGAAAATAATACCTGTCCACCTCACATAATTGTTGTAAAGTGCAAATGAGAAGACGCAGGAGCATGAGAACTGTGTTGTAAATAGCAAGTCGCTCTTGAAATGTTCTATGGACTCTATGAAATCATATGATTCTTTTCACTTCAAATCTCATCTCCTATTGGTTCTGGAGAAGATATTATTGCATTTTTAACTATTGACTCAGTGCCTTTTATTTTGTCTGCTAATCCAGGAAGTCTAACTATGCAGAAATTGCCGTGCTGAGCTCTATTCCTCAGAATGGTCCTCCTGAAATGCTTCATTTCTTAGTTTAGTTTCTTAAAATTCTGGATATATTGCTCAAGGGTTTGGGTTTTTTTTTTTTTTTAACCAAGTTAAGTGCAATTTCTGCTTTGTGCAGCCTAAACAACACCCCCAGTTTGTCTTTCGCAATGATCATTACTTTCATTCTTTTTAATTCTGACCTTCTCTCGCTTGAGAGGATATGGTATCCACTTCATTTCTTTGAAAAGAGGCTCCAACCTTTTTCTGAATTCTGTGTGTGGCTCCCTGTGGTTGCTCTTTGTCGGGGTTAATTAAAACAAAGCTTTTTGTATGTTCTCTCTTCTTTTTTGAGTGATGACACTTTTTTAGGGAGCCACATTAATTTTTCCATCTTAATGCATTCCCCTTAAGTTACCCTAGTGACTGATATCTGCTGTATTACTGGAAATTCTTTAGTAAAATTCCTGATTGATTTTAATAGAATTTGTGATTAGGAGTTTGATTGGGTTTCTATTCACTCCACCATCTTCCTGGATAATTTCCCTACCCTGTCAGGTCTTTCTATCCTCTGGTTCAATAGTCTGGAAAGAACCCAAGGGCCAAAGGTGGGATTAGAACCGAGAGCCAACCTTTTTCAACAGAAAATCGAAAAATGCCTTTTTGTGCTTTGTTGCTGCTGTTAAGGTTCATGCTAGACCTAAGAAAATGGGAGCAAAGATGGAGTACTGAAATAAAATATTACCACAAATCCCTTAATAACTCAATGTATTAACTGCATTCCTAAAGTTTCTGAACCTACCAGGCATCTTGCAAGCAGCAAAGGCTATGCTGGTTTCTCTAGTTACAAATAAGGGAGACGCTAAATTATTTCCAAGGTCTTCTTCCAGCTCTGAATTTCTTCAACATTAAATAATATTTAACCTGCAAGTTCAGGCATTCATTGATGTGACCAGAATCATCCCCACTTCCTGCTACCTCACCTTCAAAATGCCCACCCACCCACACACAGACCTGTTCTGATTTCCTCGTTTGTAAATTTTTCAAATCAACTGTTATTAAACGTAAAATGAACCTGTGAAAGAGACAGTGAGGGAACTGAACCTCTAGAAGCATGGGAGCTCTGCTCCCCGAGATCGGCTCCACCACATGAGGTGCCGAAGAGTTGAGCCCACAGGACAGCACGCACAGCCCAGCTTGGGTGAGGCACCAAGTCCCCACCCAGTGTGGACTCTGAGGGGCAGCCCTGAGGCCCTCTGGTGGACACACTGTGGAATCGCAGCCTTCCAGGCCTTGGCAAGGGCACGGGAGCCCACTGGGAAGAAAGCCTCTGGTGGCTCGGCCCGAGTGACCTAAACCCATACCGAGGGCCTACCCCTGAGGGACAGGCTAGGTGCTTGCCTCAGAAATGGGGGACTTGTGTCATTTTGAGGCACGCTATCCTTGCAGCTGTTAGATGTGAGGCTCAAGAAAATTAGGTGGGGATTTCAAACTGGGCGATGTTGAAGGGCCTAACATCTTTACTGGTATGTTGGGTAATCCCCGCAAGAGAACATTTTTTTCAATTCAGTCATTTCAGAATGAAGTTTCCGACCCCAGGCTCTTGCCTCTCCTTTGAACTTCAGTTATACTTCGTTTACATGGGCCAAACTCGTGTCTCGAGAAGACCTGCGGCAGCCACTAGCAGAGAAGTGAGGGGTGGGGTAGTTTTGCCAGCCTGTGAATGGGAGGATGTGGCTCCGTTAAAGACTGATCAGCCAATAATGAGCGCGCGTCCCTTTGCCTACTCATTTGTGTAAGCAACAAATATTTGTTCTTCACCTTGTGCCTGTCATGGCTATCTGCTCTCAGATCTCTTCTGTGCCCTCGGCAAACACTGTTCCCTGTTTACCCTCGCCAACTGCCCTCCAGCTGGAATGGCCAGTGGGAGGCCCTAGCAACGGGTGAGAGGTTGGGAAGGAAGAGAAACCAGGTTATTTTTTCCATCCCTCTCTCCATATTTTGAGCATCATTTTCCTGCAACGGGCCCACCTCCTCACCAGACAGCCCCTCCCTTCAGGGTCCCGGACAGTCCCTGCCAGGGT